ACTTGGAGACAGGCAGTGAAAAATGTCACTGCAGGGATCAGGGGATGAGAGTCTTGGCTGACCTGCTGCTCAGGCAGCGTTAGCCAAGATACTAAGGACTCTGTCTTTGGGCTCCTGGGATGGCCCCTGAGCTCTGCAGATTGAGGACAAAGAACAGATACTTGCCCTAAGCTCACTGAGGGACTGGGGAGGAAGCGCTCTTGTAGCCTGGGTGATCTGGCTGTTGGTGTTCACCAGAACCACATGTTCATTCAATACTTGCTAAAGAGCTGTTACTCATATTCAGATCTATTTTCCTGCCTTGCAAAGTGCCCCTAGAAAAAGTGCTGGTTCTCACACATGTGGCTCCTTTCGGGTGTCTGGGCCTGCAGAAAACAGCATCTTCCTAACATGCAGACTCTTGATTTAATGATTGTAGTGGCTCATCTTTATACTGTGTTGCAAGGACACAGACCAACTAAATTTCGTGTGTTTATAGTGAGGCTTAGCATGCAGCCAGGAATCATTCCACTGCTTTTTATTCTATCTCATTTTCTAATATTTATTATTTTTATATTTAAGATACTCAATTTATACTTTTGTTTATGATAACTTAGGCTCCAAATTATACGATTTTTCTTTTTCTTTTTCATACAATATATATTTTTATTGAATTTTTGTGTATTTTATCCAATGTATCATAACTGTATTTAGACATTCTCCCTATCTTCAGACCCCTTGGCTCCCCACTGGATTTCATGCATTCTTATGAGTTTATGTTTTTATTTTATTTTAAAAATATTTTGTTTACTATTTTTATTACATGAGTATGAGTATATTGCTAACATGTATGTAAGTGCACCCGTGTTGTACAAGGCCTGTGGAGGTCAGACGAGGGTGTCAGATCCCTTGGAACTGGAATTACAGATGGTTATTAGCTGCCGTGTGGGTTTTGGGAATCGAACCCAGGTCCTCCAGAAGAACAGCCGCTGCTCTTAACCACTGAGCCATCTCTCCAGCCCCAGGTTTATCTTTTTCAAAAATCAGTAAATTAAGCTACCTTTGTTAGACATTAAAAATAAGTAATGCAATTTTTAAATCTTTTTAAAAAGGCAGTTTTAGAGTTTTTTTTAGAGATTTATAGTAAGTTTGGAAAGATGTTTGTCAGATTTATACCAACTTGTCAGTTTCCAGGGTAAAATATATTCAATGGTTTATGGATAAACTGTTTTTCCAAAGTTTAGAATGTGTTAGGAACATGCGCTGCTCTTAACCACTGAGCCGTCTTTCCAGCCCCAGGTTTATCTTTTTCAAAAATCAGTAAATTAATTGAGCTACCTTTGTTAGACATTAAAAATAAGTAATGCAATTTTTAAATCTTTTTAAAAAGGCAGTTTTAGAGTTTTTTTTAGAGATTTATAGTAAGTTTGGAAAGATGTTTGTCAGATTTATACCAACTTGTCAGTTTCCAGGGTAAAATATATTCAATGGTTTATGGATAAACTGTTTTTCCAAAGTTTAGAATGTGTTAGTTGAAATTCAGGAAAGAAAGTTGCCTCACAAATACTGAGATAAGTGACAGTTTGGGTAACAAGGCAGCCCAAGTACTTGTTTATTTTAGTAGAAAGGAGCAGCAGTGGGAACTGTCAGCCCTCTCAGGGGACTTGTTTTGTTTTTCTTATTTTGAAACAGAGTCTTGTATGTGATGTGTGTACATGTGTGCTCATGTGTGTTGTATGTGACTGTGTGGTGTGTATACATGTATATGTGTATGTGTATATGCCACGTATATAAATGTGTGGTGTGTGTGGTATGTATGTGTGTGAATATGTGTGTCAAAAATCTTGTAGCCTCTCAGAAAACTGTTCCCTCAATTGTCTATCATTTCTTGTAATAATGTCCACTCCTGGGCTCCAGGCATAATGGTTACATAATACAAACTGATAAAATGTATGGACAGACTAGATGGATGGGCAGATGTATAGGTAGAGGAATGTATAAGTTGATAAGTGGGTGGATGAGAGGTGAATTAATGGTGGTGAATGGATGGGTGGATGGGTAGATGGTGGGTGAATGAGTGGAGCCTGAGGATTGACCTTAATGACTAAAATTCACATTTTATTTTCAAATTTCAGCTTATACGTTGGCAAAAACAGTATTTGCCTATACTGGAGGGCAATTCACACCTCCTTGGTCTCCACTGTGCTGTAGGGGAAGAGGCACAGTGAGTGCACCACCCCTATATTCTGGGCCAGGACTCAGGTCATCATCCATGTGGGACTCCCAAATCTGTGCCCAAGTTCCATCTCTTTCCACCTTATGTATTTTTGGAACATGGCAGTCCTGTTGCTGCCCTCCCCACTTCCTCTGCTCCTAAAATAGTCAGCTCTTCCTTATGTCTGGCTCTATAGCCCTAGGGGCACAGTGCCATAGGAAGGACAGTGTGATTGTTGGAGACGGCAGGCATGCCTAGCCCAGCAATAGCAAGAGAGGAGGATCCTGAACTGGTCCCAGAACCATTTGGCCTGAGAAAGCAGCCCCACAGCCCTGGAGCCCATGGCTTCTGGTAGCTCTGCATCTCCAGGACCGACATGTGCCTCACTCCTCCGGTTTGCCACCGTAGGAGATGGTGCTCTCCCTGTCCCCAGGGCTAGCACAACCAGCCAAGTGCACGTGACTGAGCTCAGTGTTGACCAGGACATGAATCATACCATGATGCTTTTACCGCTTATAGTAGAGAGAGGGCAGGAGTGTACCACAGTAAGCACAGCCTTTATGTCCACTTGAGGAGGGAGAGAGACAATTTGTAAAGAACAGCATGCATCTGCCTGCCCTCTGACTTGTGTGGGCACAACCTTAACGTCCCAGTGGCATCTTCCCACTCTATATTGCTTCCACAGGTCTCCCTCCCCCTTGGAGTAGGTCAGGGAGCTGCCAGGGCACTGGACCTTGCCCTTAGAGGGCAGAAATGGTACCTACCACATGGTGGTGCAACTGAAGTGGACAGGGTGTGTTTTCCAGTATCTTCTTTCTTTTTATAAACTTTTAAAAAATATTTATTTTTATTTTATGTGTATGAATGTTTTGCCTGGTATGTGTATCACATGTGTGCAGTGCCCACAGAAGCTAGAGAGGGCATCACATCACTTGGAACTGGAGTTACAGGTGGTTGTAAGCTGTGCTATGAATGCTGGGAACTGAACGTGGGTCCCTCTCAAGAGCAGGAAGTACTCTTAACAGCCAAACCATCTCTCCAGTCTCTGTCTTCTTTCTTTTGACATTTTCCTGGTCTTTCTTCCTAGCAATACTGTACTTACTCTAAATACCCCAACACACACACACACACACGCACGCACGCACACACACAGATCTTCACACATAAACATGCACATGTTCACACATATGGATGCATAGAAACACAGAAGTTTAGACACAGATACATAAAGTGCACACATGCTGACACAGACATATCATCTGTATAAATCTTCAAGTGGGTGATGGTTACTGTGGAGACGCATAACCAGCCAAGCTGCTGAAAACACCAGTGACTTGCTATGGCACAGAGGCCCAGTACTCAGCCATAAATGGGAAACACGCACAATCAAACATCTATATCATCCACTCCAAGGCTCAGAGAACATCTCATAAGAGGGGTGGAAAGGATGAAAGAGTAGAGGAAAGTGGAATGCTGTATAGATCTTGCCTCTGAGTTGACACGTTCCCCTTGGAGGGAAGAGGAAGACGCCTAAGACTCAGGAAACTCAGTTGCAGACTTCACGAGGCCCCTCCCCAAGGTTGTAGAAACTGTAAGCAACAGTTGGGAGAGGACAGTTTCTTCTGTGGAGCTGACTGCATGTTACACAGGGGACTCTAGGGATGCAGCTTCTGTGGATTATCATCCATGCTGGTGTGGGCTTTTTAGCAATGCATCTGCCTTTAAATGACCCATGCTTCTGTAAATAACCTCCATAAATTTTCTAGTTTACCAGGCTAGACTAGGGTGTAATCATTTATTTGGTCTGTCATAAGTGCCCTATCTGGGGTAAATGGACATTTGTCCTCATCTTCCCTGAATACGCCATATGATAATAATCTAGACACATGATCTGTCTAGACTTTACAGTCTTCAAACCAATAAGCAGGCCTCTGTGCTGGCTGTGGGAGCTCCACCCTCACGTCTCAGAGGGACTGCAGAGTCTTATGACAGAGGGTCCCATGGAGGGACGTTTCTCCTCAACTTTCCCTGACTGTACTTGACCTGTTCATTTCTCTGACCCTGGTTAAGATGTCTAAGGTGACATAATGTCATTATTTGGGGCTGACTGGTTTGTTCTATGGAGAAAGGAGCTTGGAACTAGCTGGTTTTGCCAGATGTGCAGCAGCGGCCCTCTAGGACAGGAACTGGTGGGGATGGCTGTCTGTGTCTCCTGATTGGGTTCCTCCTGTCCATCCCCCCTGTTTTCATTTTCTTTGAGCCTGAGCAAACCCTTTGTTGTGAGCATGGGATCTGTGGCCGTGATACAGTGATGATGAGCACTGAAGGAGAAGAGTATTGGTATGCGTGGACTACCAAGCTGGAGAGGCTGTGCTTGGCTGCTGTTCACGGGCACCTGGGTCTCGGATGGGACTCTGGCTCTGAGGCCCCCTCAGCAGTGCAGTTTCAAAACAGCAATGCCAGCCAGGATCCATCTGCACCATCAGTTCCAAAATATGTCTTCTATGCCTTCTATAAGCAATGGGTATGTGACATCAAACTGGCAGAACTAGGGAGCCATGAGTTCCTGTGGACTTCTGGGACCTCCAGCCCCATCACCTGTGTCAAGGAGTAGCTGCTTGGGAGACTTATTTATGGTTTAGGCCTGCTTTAGTCTGTAAGAAAGTGAGGCATGTTACCCAGCTCACTGCCTGGAGTTATCTTAAGGCGTGTGTTGGCTTGGTAAACACCCCAGAGGCTGGGAGCTGTCTCCAGTGGGCAAGTATGGATCTCTGTGTTTCTTTTTACAGGGTACTGTTTTTAGGTGTGCTGAACAGGGCCATGTGGAGAAGGCTGGGTATCAGGAATCACGAGGCTGAGACCCTGCAGTTTCTTACCTGTGGTTATGAAGGAACTCAAGGTAAGGTCAACAGGCTATGCAGTTCAGTTCCAATAGCATAAGAGTACTGGGGCCTTGGACTACTTTGATGCTGGGGTGAGGGTGGGGTCAAATAGTGGCCCACAGAACCGGGTGGAGGGGCTCTGGCCTGCTTGGGTTATTTGAAATGTACCTAATGGTGTTTGCTGTCTAGAAACTGGCTGTTCCTGAGGGGATGTCCCTCTAGGGCTAACATGGTCCTGTTGCTAGAATAAGGAACTTATGACTAATTCAGAAACCGAGGAAAGATGGTAAAGGAGAAGAGAAGGGTCCTCACTACAGGGTGAGTGCATTGAATGCTTCAGTGCCAGCCCTACCCAGAACAGATGTGGGTGTGACAGCTCAGTACCCACGCTTGGATCCACTGCATGTCACACACAGTGGGCAGAGCAGACTTAAAGGCTGGCAGCCTCCCAAGTCAGACTGAACCCCACATAATGCTGTTTTAGAAACACTTGCAGTAGTAATGCCAAAACTTTAACTTAGCAGATAGCAACAGGAAGTCCCCCTCTGAAGGAGACAGATGCATATTTAGAAAACTTTTGCTAAGAACCTTCCTTGCAAGAGAACCATGGGGAGTGTGCCAGCATCATGGGAGCTTACTGAAGGAGGAACTTAGTCTAGGGAAAAGGTGCATGGCTTTGTATCTGGAACTCACTGCAAGGGTCTTAGTTCCATCTTAGAAAGACCAGGAGGGTCTGGATGACCCAGAGCACCATCTCCCGTCCTGCTCTTGATGGTAATACTTGTTCTAAGTAGACACGTGTCATGCCGTGTTCGTGCAGATCCAGAATCAGAGCTCTCAGAGCTGAGGTAGGGCATAGAATACACTGGGTTGACTGGATCTGTGAACCTGTGGCATGGTGCTACAGTCCCTCTGGTCCTGGGCATGGTGTGGTTGGTGCACATCGTTCTCCATTATGAGTGTGGTATAGGTATGGAGATTTCTGGGGACTATATAACTTTTGTGTGCTGTGTGTTTAGTTCGAAGGGCTGTTCCACAATAACTGCACTTTTTGCATCCAGAACCTGTTCCTGCCTTTTGGCAGAGGAAGGAGAAGGACTAATAAACTTGGTATGTGTAACTGTAGCTCAGAAGAAAAGTCTGGGTAAAAAAGCCTGCATCCCTTATTTATAGGAAGCAGATGTTTCCTATCCTACCTAGACTGAGGGTTGCTGTGAGACCCAGTGATGGTCCAGGAGCACTCCACTTTGTTAGTGTCCCTCAGGAAGGTGGAGAATTGGTTCTGAACTTTCATGCATGAACTCTGAGATGGAGACATTCTAGCAATGAAAAATCACAAAAGAAAGTCAGGTTTTCCTTTAAAGTTGAGATGTTGGACTCCAATCAAACTTACTTCAAATCGCTTAGAATTTGTTCCTCTGTTGTTGTTAAGGTGGGATTTACATAGAGTGAGATGCTTGGATATAAGTGTGCACAGGGGTGTTTTGAGTGGTTGCTTAGGTGACTCCCCAACCATCTCCTGCCTGCCCTCTGCCCATCCAGGTTGTGAATGGTTGCTGTTCTGAAACGAGGGGTCCTATGAGCTCATCAGGGACCTGTCTTCTCTCAGTATGGACTGTCCTTTAGTGATTGTAACCCTCCCTCAGTGTGGACCAAGGAACATTGCCCTTCTGCCCACACCAGCTTCATTTCTCGTTGCCTCTGGTACACCCAGACCTGGCCATCCCTTCTCCTAGGCAGACACTGAACCTTGGCAGGTTTTGCTGAGATGTTATGTGTGGCATCGCTCTGCACACTATGAGCCTCTTGTGGATGTGGTTTTCATCTCTGCAGAGTGAATTCTCAGGAGTGCAGTGTCCCCAGTGAGCAGCACGTGCATTCACCTCCATGAGTGATTGCTGAACGGCTCCCAAGAATCCTGGAATTCAGCAACATGGGCAGCCTCTTGCTTTTCCATGTCCCTCCAAAACATGTTCTGTCTCCCATGACCTGGTCAGAAGTGGCAGGACATGTTGCTGTGGCATCATCATGCTTGACTGTGGTCATATCTTTTCATGAGCATATTGGTCATTTTTATGGCTTCTTTTGTGAAGTTTCTGTTCAATTCTCTTTGCCTGTTTTTTGTATGTATGGAGTATATGTGTGTATATGTGTGTGTGTGTATGTGAGAGAGAGGGAGGGAGGGAGGGAGAGAGAGAGAGGGAGGAGAGGAGTACATGTGGTCATGGATGCATCTGTCCCTGTGTGCACTGTGCAGGCCAGGGTGTCAACTCTTCCTTTTCAACTGTCTTCCTTTGTCGTTCTCCATTTTTTTTTTTTTTTGAGACAGAGCCTCCCAGCACCGCCCATTGAACCTGGTGCTCACTCATTGGCTAGACTGGCTGTCCAGTGAACTGTGGGAATTGTCCTGTCTCTGCCTTCCTCACCACTGGGATTACAGGATTTTTACATGGGTGCTGGGGATCCCAACTTGGCGTGGCAAGCACTTTACTCCTGAGCCGTCTCCCTGCCCCTCTTTGATTTTTTTCTTTTTATCATTGGTTGATGTTATAGGAAGTTTTTTTCCTGCTACACTGTGAATAAACATTCCATTAGATAGTTTTGTGCTAGCATTGCATTTTTGAAGATTTGTCTTCCTCTGCTGAGATGTAGATGCCCATGTTGAGCACTGTCATCGTCAGAGGCGCATGGAAAGCACAGGGGGAGGGCACAGATATCTCGCCCCTGTGTTTGCACAGCTACATGTGTTTTCCAACTCTACTAAAGTGGGGATGATGAATCCTCCCTACCAGCCAGCTGTCTTTCAGAGAAAAAGAGGAAAAGAGAAGGCAGGCTTCGGTCCTTGTCCCAGTGTTTGCCCATGTACACATGGTACTTCTCCAGTTCCTCATTTTCAGAGTGCAGGTCTGCAGGCCACCAGCTGCTGTTTTATTAGCATCATAGGAAAATGTTTATCTATGACCTTTGTGTCTGAAAGGTCTGGCTACAGACTTCTGAGTTGAATGTTCCCTTTCCGGATTCAAGTTATTCATATGTGTAATTCTTCCTCTGCTGAGATGTAGATGCCCATGTTGAGCACTGTCATCGTCAGAGGCGCATGGAAAGCACAGGAGGAGGGCACAGATATCTCGCCCCTGTGTTTGCCCAGCTACATGTGTTTTCGAACTCTACTAAAGTGGGGATGATGAATCCTCCCTACCAGCCAGCTGTCTTTCAGAGAAAAAGAGGAAAAGAGAAGGCAGGCTTCGGTCCCTGTCCCAGTGTTTGCCCACGTACCCATGGTACTTCTCCAGTTCCTCATTTTCAAAGTGCAGGTCTTCAGGCCACCAGCTGCTGTTTTATTAGCATTATAGGAAAATGTTTATCTATGACTTCTGAGTTGAATGTTCCCTTTAGCACTTCAAGTTATTCATATGTGTAATGCCGGATACCAAATTGTTGTTGTTGTTGTTGTTGTTGTTGTTGTTGTTGTTGTTGTTGTTGTTGTTGTTGTTGTTGTTGTTGTTGTTGTTGTTGTTGTTGTTGTTGTTGTTGTTGTTGTTGTTGTTGTTGTTGTTGTTGTTGTTGTTGTTGTTGTTGTTGTTGTTGTTGTTGTTGTTGTTGTTGTTGTTGTTGTTGTTGTTGTTGTTGTTGTTGTTGTTGTTGTTGTTGTTGTTGTTGTTGTTGTTGTTGTTGTTGTTGTTGTTGTTGTTGTTGTTGTTGTTGTTGTTGTTGTTGTTGTTGTTGTTGTTGTGAGACAGGTTCTCCTTGTAGCCCCAGTTGGTCTGGCCCTCGCTATACAGGCAAGGCTGCCTCTGACTCCCACGTGCCGGAATTAAAGATGTGTGTCACTGCACCCAGCAAACATGCCTTTTTATTGAAGTTTTGCAGTTTTCATACAATACAATTTGATGGTATTTAGATACCCTCCCCTATCGTCAGCACTCCAGAGCCCTTACTTCCCCTGTCCAATTTAATGTGCTCTAATATATATATAGTACTCTAATTTATACACACACACACACGGGCACACACACACCCACACACGTATATGCCTGTAGAGTCTAATTTGTATCCTCAAATGTCCTTTAGTGTGGGTCCATCCACTGAAGCCTGATTAACCCACCAAGCATTCCATCCTTGAAAGGCTGTCTCTCCCCATCCCAGCAACCATTGGTTGTCAGTAGTTCCTCAGGTTGGGTTGGGGTTTCTTACCCACTTCTCCTTATCTGCGCTGAGATTTTTTTCGAATTTGACCTTCCGTGGGTTGTGCATGCCGTCACCATTGCTGTGAGTGTGTATGCGTAATTGACCGGCTGTCTGGAAATGTCTCCTTGTGGCTGTCCACCCCCTTTCGCTCTTACAGTCTTCCCACTCCCTCTTCGGTAACGTGCCCTGAGCCTTGGGAGGCAGAGGTGTGAATAGCTGTCCTGTTCAGAGATGAGCACTCTGCAGCCTCTTGATCTCTGCACACTGGCCAGTTGTGGGTCTCTGTGTTAATCACCATCTGCTGCATAAGGGAACTTCTCTGGTGAGAGCTGAGAGATGCATTAGTCTGTGTATATAACAATAAGTCATTAGGAGTCAGTTTAATGTGATAACTATTTAGTAGAAAACTAGTATTGGACTCTCCTATGTCCTGTGACCTGTCTAGCTTCAGGTGCCTAAGCCTGATATCAGTGTCAGGATGGACTCCATCCTATGAAGCAGACTTTCTTTTCAATTAGAGAATGGTTGGTTAGTCCCATAATATTTGTGCCACTGTTGCACCGATGGGCACATCTTGCCAGGCCAGTTTTTGGTTGTAGGTCACAGGGTTCACAGCTGGGTAAGGTCGGTGATTATTTTTTCCTTCTGGTGGCATGCAGAGCACCTTCCAGCCCTGTAAACACTAGCCAGTAGAGATGAGGCTCTGAAGTCAGCACCAGCCGGTTTCTTCTTGTTTGTTCTACAGCTCATGTATGTAGTGTCTTCAGCAATAGGGTCTCACCATCAAGTTCTGGTGGGTAACCAAGAGCAGGGGTAACGGCCAGTACTGTTTGAGGGTCCATGCGACCCCTGGTCAACAGCTTCTGGAGAAGGAGTCCTTTTCTGACATCAAGGGGTTTTGTTGTGTTTTGTTATACTGTGATGTCTAGAAGGGTCTATGTCCCCCTGTTTGAGAGTGCTTCATTTCTTATGAACCACTGAAGCCTGAGCCCTGGACTGTAAGGAGCCAGTGCTGTCCTTGGGCTGTAGATCTTCCTGGCTCTGCCGTGTCTGCTGTAGCTTTGGTTTGTAGAAGGTCCACCTGAGCTACCCTTGGTGACTCTTTTTGTTTGTTCTTGCAATGTACTGAGCATCTGGAATCTTCCATGTTCTTCACAAAGTCTGGGACATCCATGGCTCTCAGAGATCTGTGAACTCTCCTTCCGCTGTGCTGCAGCCATAGTGTGGCCTGCCCAGCCCTGCCCCTCAGGCTGCCGGGGATCTGTGCTGCCCAGCCCTGCCTCACAAGCTGCCAGGGTTCTGGACATTCTTTTCCATTCCACTTTTCAGACTAGCAATTTCTCTGCCTTCAGATTTACCCCTCATTTCCTGCATGCCCATCCGTGCCCCTGCCGAGTTGACCAGGTATACCCTCCTGCCTGTGCGGACCCATCTGTGCACCCTCAGCCTCATTCTCTCTGCTTGTTGGGGGTCACAGTCACATTTTCACTTCTTCCTGTATGAGCTGCTGGGTACTGTGTGTACAGGAACTGAACCATGCCACCAGATTTCTCTTGAGGGTTTTCCAGCACCAGCTAAATTCCTGGGCCATCCTGATCCTCTCAGGGTATTGATATTTCATAGTCCTGCATTTGGGTGACCCTTCCTCTGAAGCCATGGCCTTGTGGGTCTTCAGCATTCTTCCAGGGCATCTCTGATAGTGGCAGTGGGAACTCTCAGCATGTTCTCACAGCCTGCCTCTGCTTGGTCTCAGGCAGCTCTCCCTTAAAGTGGAATTCCTCACTGCATGCCTATTCCCTGTATACCTATACAAAAACTTCTTCAATTCCACCACCTTTGACCCTGACAGATCAGCTTGAGGGGATTTTCCTGCTCTCCATTGCACACTATGGTCCAGAAGCTGCCCAGATGCAAAACTGTGCAGGAACAGGGTCACCTCGGCTCCCCTTCCCACATCTGTCTCTGGTGGAGGATGTCTGCCACCTGTGGCTTTATGACGGATGGGACCCAAACCAGTGGGACCCTGCTTCAATGAAGAGAGGGAGGGAGGGAGGGAGAGTGAGAGCGAGAGAAACATCCACAGAGAGGTGCCTGCCGGTCAGACCTGGGACAACGCTTGTACAGTATTCTCAGATTGTAACATTGCTGTGTCCTCACTCACTGTTCACTGTCAGGTAAACAAAGAAGCAGACTGAGGAGATGGACCCGGAGCATAGATCTGTGTTGTAGTGAGGCAGACGCCAGCCCACAGACCTCACACCCGTCTTGTCGCCATGGAGCCTTCCTTTTCCTACAGTGTCAGAGAGAAGAGCGTGTTGGAGGCCGGAGCACAGGAAGTGGGCGAATGTTCATCTTCTAACATGCCCCTGGTCTTTTGAGAATGGCACCTCCCTGTCTTGCCTTTGGTGTTCTTCCCTCCTGGCTGCCCTGCATGAGCCTCGGCCAGAGCTGGCCCTGCTCAGGATGGAGAGTAGAGAATGGTTCTAGAGTCAGAACGTGGCTCAGAACGTTCTAGTCGTGGCTCGGAAGGCCTTAACGGTCGCTTGCCTCGTGTGCTCTTGCCTTGGAAAACATGTCCTTGTCTTCAGGCGTGACAATTCCTAGAGCCCTGTGTTTATGCTCACTTTTGGCAGGGATTTGATAGGCTGGTTGTCGGGGAGCCTACCTGCAGAACTTGCTTCTCCCAAAGACACAGCACAGGGGCCATCAGGCTTTGTGTGCACACAGGACACATTGTCACACTGCTCAGAGTGCCTAGCTAAGGCTTTTCTCTATGAGTATCAAGAAATATGATGGCTGCCCACTTTCAGCATCTGGGTGGAGTGAGCTGGTGGAGTGTGGGCCACACTATCCCTTTATCTTATAACCACTTTCTGTCTCAGGTCAGAGGGATGCAGCTTATTACTATTTGTTGATAACCTGTAGGCTTTTTTGACAGGATGCCAGCTCTTGCCTCAGATGATCATGTTGTTGCTGACAAGGCCTTCCTCTCCCTCTCTTGTCGGCCAGTACATTCTTCCTTCTCTGGGGGCTCTCTATGTCTAGCTAAACCAGAAGAGTTCCCCCAAAGGCCTGGTACCTGTTGTATCCTTTGCATCAACTCATGACTTCCTCTGTGCCCTAGACATGCTCCTGCGGAGTCTCCTGAAGGACCTGCAGCAGCAATCTGAGGTGCCATGCCTGGGCCCCCTGGAGCTGGAGGAGATGGCAGATGCAATTGCTGGAGCCATGCAAGGCGACCATGCAGGGAGGCCAGGATGGCCACGGGAGAGGGGCCGAGGGACAACTACAAGAACAGGAGAATGGCCCGGAAGCAGTGCTCCAAGGTGACCTCCTGCTCCTTGACAGCCACAGGGAAGGGAGGAGGTCATGGAAGGGGTGCAGGGAGGAGAGGTGGAGGCCACGGGGAATAGGTGAGGCCATGGGAAGGTAAAGAAGCCATGGGGTGTGGCCGCAGGCAGTGGTGAGGTCACAGGGAGGGGTGGGAGGCATGGGGAAGGGTTTGGACACAAGGAGGGGTGAATGGGGAGAAAGGGGGCTCTAGGGAGAGAAGCAAACTGCTCCACAGGCCATAAGGCATTCTTTCTGCTGGGGAGAGATTTGTATTAATGATTTTTAATCTATTTGAACCTTTGCCTCTAAAAGCTTTCTTAACAAACTAAGCCTACCAGAGCAATTATGTTGAATGGCAAATTGCTCTCAGGGAAGAGGCTTGATTCCTGCGTGCTGGGGTTCAGGATTAGGAAAACCAAGGAGTGAGTGAGAGTGTCTTTGTTTGGGTCATGCAAGTGTGCACTGTCAAATATTTGAGCAATAAAGAAAAAGGGGTTCATCCAACTGTCTCCATCCACCTCTGAGGCTGCTGGGGCAGCAGATAGTAACTGCCCTGCCTCACCCACACAGCAGCAGGACTTGGGGTGGTCACTCAGGCAGGCAGGCCTCTAAGATTGTGAGCTCAGTGCCCTGCTCATGGTAGACACACAAAAGCCTGCTGAAAACCAGATGTGACCTGCAACGCTCTCCTCTGTGGGTTGGGACAGAAGTGAGTCCCCCGTGTCCTTCATGCTGCGGCAAACACAGGATGTTGTTCAGGCTGTAGAGCTGGCATGGTCATCGTGCTGTGTCTGAGCCTGGCTAGCAAAACCTTCCTCTGTCTCACAATCTGCAGGATGCTGTTTAGTGCTATGAACAGAAAAGTGTTACTCTGTGGTAAAAATGGGGCCAATGGTGTCCCACCTCATTGGTATAGGAGGATTCTCAGTGGCCATCTTTTCATGCATTGGGACACCTTATGAGGACATCTTTCAGGAACTTGAATAACAGGCTGCTATCTCTTACAGATCACAGACTCTCAGAGGAGGATGACCCAGTATATGAGGAGGTAAGATAACGCCAGAGTCACACTGTCATCTTTCTGTTTATGAAATGCACTTTTGTCCACCTGGAAGAGTATGTGGAAAAATCTCATAATCCCCAGATTGAGAAAAAAGTAGAGTATATACAAAATTATGGAGACCTGGGTATGAAATGGGACATATTTTCAGACTGTAAGTGAATATTTAGCCATTATAGAGACGTGAAAATTAAGATTAATTCAAAGAAGAAAACTAATATCCTCAGAACCCTGTGTGAACATTGCAAGCCCATTTCACAGACCTGCAGAGTTCTGCACACAACTTCTGAGGTTCATGACCAACAGGCACAGCCTCCATGTCCCTGGCCCTGCCCCAGCTGGTCTGGTAGCTGTGAGCCACGAGCAGCTCCTGAAACTTGAAATAAATAAGTTAAAGGCAAATAACAGTTCCTTAGTTGCCTTAGCCAAGGCCCCGTGTGGTCACATCTGCAGGGTGCTCAGTCTCTGTAGGTGACCCGAGATGGCCCTGTGAAAGGACTTAGCCAGGTGGTCTCTATAAAACTTTCTTAACCAGTTGGAGTTTCTTGCTTAAGAACCTGTGTTCTCTTAATGTAAATCTTAAGGATGTAGAAAATCTACTCAGGTAGCAGTGGTATTATATGGTTCTATAAAACTTTTTGTAGGAAGAAGGGAAAGTCTTATTCAGTAATTTTCTTGTCAGGCTTGTGGCCCAGCTCCTGTTAGACACCAGCACGAAACACCAGTGATCTGAAATCCCAGCCACAGTGGGATTTCCATCAGAGCAGTGTGGGGAGACTGGATCAGGAAACTGTGCCTGGGTTTTAGGAGTAAACAGATGCCATGGGAGACCCACAGCCCTTGAGGCTGTGATGTCAGAGCACAAGCCAATGACACATTGAACCTGAAATTGGTGAACTACCAGACCCCATCCACAGCCTTCCCAGCCTCCACCCACAGCCTGCACCTGTTGAGTTTTGACTCATTTCTTTGTTGCTTGGGGTACATTTTGAGCAATTGTTTTCGGAAAGGGTATTTGCATGTTGGACAGTCTGAACTTCTTCATTCAGTGACACCTTCCTTTTCTTCCTCATATGAAACTCCATCTGGGACCATCATCCCCTTTCTTTCAAAAGCCCTCATTGGGTCACTTACTGCAGTGTATTGTCACTGCAAATCCAATTCAAAACAACTGTCTTGATCAAACTATTGCATTTACGTATTCAAAAGGAGAAGTTGTGAATCTCAGTCAGAAGGAAGTGATCTTGCTCACAGTTCTTTTTTTTCCTTTTTCTTTTTTCATCTTTTTGGGGCAAGGTCTCCTTGTAGCCCCAGCTGGCCTGGAACTCATTTTGTAGACAAGGCTGGCCTGGAACTCAGAGAGATCCACCTGCCTCTACCTTCCGAGTGCTGGAATTAAAGGCGTGTGCCACCACACCCAGCACAGTTCTTTCTTAATTTCCTAAATAAATGTGTTTTGGTGAATTAAGTTGTGAGAGAAACCCAGTCCCCCAGTTTCTGTCTAGTGTCATACCAGAGGTGTCATTTCCTGGCTAAAACCTTGTACACATCATTTGATGTCCAGCCTCTTATTAGGTCACATCTACAAAGCAGAGAACTGGGATATGATGAAATGGGGTTTGCATGGAGTGATCAAATGCTGGATTCATAACCAGCCACAAATGCTGTGATCATAATACCCTTCTGGCAGGTGCCAGGGGTGTCAGAGAAGCCTGGTATCCAGGGAGTGGGATCAGGCTTGGAGACCGACTGTCACCTTGCCAGGACCAGAGACCCCTCAACATTACTAGCACAGCTCCCTCATTCCAGGGTTAGCTTCTGCCTCAGTTTCCCTTTCTATGAAATGGTGATTACTGATGTTTCCCTACCCCTGGAGCTTATTGGAAGACTTACACAAATAAAGTCTTACTACCACACCTTTGGGGGCCGATCAGCAGATGTAAATGGTGGTGATTGATAGGTATTATAATTAGGTGTTCATTGCTTCTAGAGGGGTGGGTGGGGTCTTGAAGTCACATGGGTAATTTTTTTTTGTTTATTAGAAGAAGCATTTCATTACAACAGCATTAACCTATTCAATAACATTTTTCTGAGCTAGGGTACATCTCTTTCAAAATTGGCTATAAATTTTTAGGTTCACAGTTGAATTAATACAGTTATAC